AGGGGCACAGCTTAGCACTGTTACTCCTGCTGCTGCCGGGTGGCCAGGGGGCACCTCGCCACAGCTGTGTGGGGCTCCCTGTAGTGGCACTGAGTTTCTCTGTTCCACCCTGCTGCATCAGGTGCCATCTGCCAGGCTGTGAATGCCCCTGGGAGGACGGCAGCAGGGTAGGAAGCCCCAAGCCCAAAGCTGGCAGCCTGCATCCATCCCTGCCCCATACACAAATCTGGGGGGCATATGCCACCCATACCTCTCTGAGTGTGCAGTGGCAGGGAGCCAGCCCCCACCCCCAGAATAACTACCTGTGGCTCCATTTTGCTTCCCTGTGTGGGCCCTGCAGCCACATATTCCTGGACCCAGACACTACCTCGGCTGGGCAGCACCCCTAACCCCATCCTGCCCTATTCCCTCCCTCTGCCCAACTCCCTCCCTCCCTATGAGAGGCTCAATCCCCACCCCCCAGACTTACCTGTGGGGAGCTGCTCTCATGTGGCCTGTCACGTGCATGTGTGCACACACACGTACATGGCACCCCCCGTCTGATCACCCTCCATCCGCTCCCCCCAGCCCAGAGCAGGCTAGAACTCTACTAGCCTGCAAGGGGAAACCTGCTGTTTACTGCGTTATTCTCCATAAAATGATAAAAATCAGTGTTTTTTTTACATTTTGTCATGGTGAAATACCAAATTCACTCTAACTATAGCTACTCCTCACTTAACATCGTAGTTACAGTCTTGAAAAATGCGACTTTAAGCAAAACGATGTTAAGCGGATACAATTACATTACAGTAGTTACCTACTAGCAGGCAGCAGCCAAACATTATAACTGAACATTGTGTGACTAAGTAAGTATGTTCTCTAAAAGAACAGCGACATAATGAAACAATGTTAACCGGGACAACGTTGTGAGGAGTACCTGTACTAGTCTGGACACTATAGGCTGGATAATCTTCCCAAATGACTCAGTTTTAGTATTATAGAATACTGTCTGGCTGACAAGCAGAGCTAGACAGAGTGCATTAAAACCCATCCTCCTTTTCTCTTGAAAGTTTCCAAGGATAAATTAGAACACATAACACTAAATCTGGGTATAAAGCCTGGCATATAAACAAAAGCAAATTTTATATAAACCAAACATTATAGAAGCACACCAGTATTTTCTTCCCACTAAAGCAGTCTGACTTATTGACAAGAACCACAAAAAAAAAAAAGTGACATTACTGAGTGAATTGGAAATTTCACTCTATTTTCACTTGCTCATTGTTCTGCTGCACAATTAAAACAGTTCTGTTTTACAAAAGAAAAAAAACCCCAAAATGGCTTTACAAGGAAGAATTAAGTTTATTTAAATAGTTGCTGATCTGGGTCTTCTTGTATAAAAATAAATTCCTCTAGGGGATTCTTCTGATTTACTGACCAACAGCTTCTTTCACATGTGTAAACCAAAACTGTCCCAAATTCGATTGACAGATCTGGGGGGGAAATGAAAAACAAGTGGTGTTTAAGATTACATGACATGGCACATTTTAGACATTACTACATTTGAAGAGGGGTGCCTATAAACAATATTTTCAGAAATGAAACACCAATATGTGCAGAAAACTATATAATGACTTAATCTGTCCTTTTGATTTGTCCTACTGTTTGTCTCAAGTGAGCTAGAACGTTACTCTGTCAACCATTAATGCTGTAGTAGCCAGGCAGAAAACACAACCCTGAACATCTCTAGGATGTTAACTAATGCTCCAATCCTGAACACACTTATGTACAAACTAAATTAGTAATGCAAACAATCCCTCTTATTTAGTCATTTCTTGAATGTAGAAGATGGTACGAGGATAATTGACTTAGTACAATGGATTAATTGTGTGCTTCAAGTGCTTGTTGGATGGGGGCTTAATTCAGTGCTTAGTTTGTTCCTACAGGCTAAATTAAAACTGATAAATTTCTTGGCATTACTTATTAAAGAAATCAAATAATGTAGAACTTCAGATTCAATTTCATTCAATCAAGACTCCAAATACTTCTCAGTTAGCCCCATCATAAAGGGAAGTCCAGAAAGGTTCAGTCAAAAATGGATTTTTGTTTGGCAAAATGATATAATTTCAGTTATACCTGCTTTTTAATCTGCCTGTAAAAATGTTTCACGGTTCTATGAAGTGGTCCAGGTAATCTACTAATCCTCATATTTGTTTCCCGGTGTAAGAATATACTGCATACCCTTTATATATAAGGGTATGCAGTAATTTTAAAAGAATATTAAAGTCTCTCATTTCTTTTAGTTCCAGAAATTTTAAGTGTCCGTATTTTCTAACTAAACAGTGTAATTTCATATGGATGCCATCTTTTTGGATAAAATTTAGAAAATAAATTTAAAGTATTACCCAGGTCACCTTATTACAATTTACAGCCTTTTCAGTTGTGGATCAAGTTCTACTTATGGTTTTGAAATCAATGATAAGAATAGAATATAACAAAAAATAAAAGTGTGTTTGTAGTTGGTAAATCACAACCCTATTTACCTGGAATCACAGGGTGCAGGTATGAGTATATGCAAGTGTGAGGATGAAGAAACATCTTGATCGCAATCAGTCCTGAACTATATTTTGATATAAACACCCCTCAAAAAACTAGAAATCTTCCTTCCCCAAACTTGCCTTCTAGATTTATATAATTTACCACTTAGTCAATTCAAGATTTTTTTAAAGCAACAAACAAAATAAAAATTTGTATATTAGCATAGAAACAACTGTACAGTGGATTCCTCTTACTGGAATCACTTTGGGAAATGATGATTTGATTCTATTAACTGGCTGATTCCATTAAAAGGAGACCTGTTTTTTTAAGAACACAGATACTCACTCCTCCCTCACAGCCTCCTGGCCCTGCTCATGCCTCTCACTCCCTGCCCCTGTCCATAGTCCCCCAGCCCTGCTGGTACCCCCCAGCTGCCAGGGCTATAGGGCCAGGAACCCAGGTCTGCAGCCCCCTTCCCCCAGCAGGAGGTAACAGCTGCTGCAGCGCAGCAGAGCCTGGCTCCCCACCTGCTGCTGCTTGCTGCGGGATCAGGGGGTGGGGGCAGCTCCCTGGCATGGCACGCACTCCTGGAGGGGCAGAGAGTGACCACAGCCCCCCAGATCTGTGCATGGGGTGGGTGTGGGGGCAGGTAGTGAGGGCAGCTGCACGGAGCTGTGCCCCTCAAAAGCTACTGCGCATGCAGGGGGTGCGTCACCAGGGAGCCCCACCTCCCAGATGAGCTGACCGTGGCCCCATCCCACTCTCTGCTGGGGCCCCAGTCCCCTGCAGGCTGGAAATCTGTCAGCCTGCAGAGGGCTTCTCACAAAACTGCACAATCCACAGGCTTCTCTGGTAAAATGATTCCAAAAAGTAGGGGTGTACCGAGAGAGGTTTTGGGGGCTGATACCGATTGCCGATTTTTAAGGAGGCATTTCAGCCGATACCAATCCAATTTCTGATACAGCTGCATCCAGCTAATAAGTCTGTTATGGTGGAAGGGGAGGGGGGAGGAAGGGTGTGTGGGGTGGGCAGATCAGTGGTGAGGGAGGGAATGGGGCTGGGGTAGCCTCAGCTCATCCAGGGGACATGGAGGGAAGACCAGTTCCTGCCACTGCCTGCACTCCGGGAGGACATGGAGAGGGGAGTGGCTGGGAGTGGCTGGTTGTGAGCTGGGGCCAGGGCAGTGCTAGGCTCTTTTTGCCACATTGTACAGGGGGGTGGGGGTGTGCGCAGC